TTTATACATGTTGGATTACAGTGTGTAACGTTACCTGTTAAATATGCCAGCATGCTGCTACTTAATCAGTTTACCCGCCAAAAAGAAACAACACCTGGCCGAGGAGATTCATATGGTAATTATGACTTCAACGAAAAACATGCAGAGACACAATTTTCTACTGACTTTAGCCTAAAAAAATCGTCGCAAAGTATGTGTTGTGACACTACACAGTAGATATTTACCTATCGAAAGGACGCCTAAGAAATAAAGTTTAGCTACTGACCAATATTGTACTGGTGGTGGTGAAGTACCCAGCTCCCCGGAACACACCACGTGGCACAGGCTTCTTGCTCGAGTCCAGGCGGAAAACGACAAAACCTGCAAGCAAAATTAAGGGAAAGTTTAACCAGATAAAAAGCAATTGCTATAGCCTTCTACTCGTTAGACTATTAAAGAATAGACGGGCTTCAATTGTCCACTAAACCTTGCACATTTTCTGTTTCGCTCAACCGGAGGAAAACGTGGCGATATATTCTCTACACTCGGAGGTCAGAATACTGCTAATGGACTCCCCTCAGTATTCTACAAAATAACGTCAAATTTGCACTAAATCACGGACCAAACTGGACCCAGACATACAAACAACAAAGTAAAATAGTCCTCACCTCAAAACTTTGGCGTTGCGTGGCTCCAAACACGAATTTTCGGCAAGCTATTCCTTCTCTCCAACGCCCAGCCGCCATCTTCGTCTTCTTCTTCAAAAATGGCGGGTCCATGGCGCGATGTATTATGGGTAAAACCAGGTGTCCTATTCACCTGGTCTAATGAGTAATTTCATTATTACAGTGTAAAGAAATAACTAAAACTTTTGAAATTATCTTTTGGAACTTTCCCATCCGACAAGAGTTGCAGTTTGAGGTTCCTTCAACCGATTTTCTGGCCACAGGAGTTTTTTTTCTTTTCTTTTACAAAAGATAAAAACTTCAAATTGTCTTGAATCATAGCAGGATCTTAACTTGATACTTAAAACTTCCATGTCCAAAGCACAGTTATGTCTATGTGTGATATACATAACTTTTCAGTAAAAAGAGTGTTTTTTTATCATTTGACTGTGAATCAACCCCAGGAAAGATGTTATGGAAGGTGAAAATGCTGAGGATCACACTTTCAGCACCAAGGACAGACACAGTAGTGGCCACATCATTTTTTTTTTCTCTTGGCACTTAGTACAAAAATGGCTTGAATGCTACTTTTTTGATTATGGAATTCTTACTAGGGATGGTAGCGAACCTTAAAAATGCATTGCATCCTTCAAAACAAATGAAACAGCTTTGAAAATGGATGGTTAACAGGGGGTACACAAAAAATTGTGATTTTCAATGGATATAAAGCTACACCATTCCTCTATTGGATACAGGGTTATGCAAGTGTTAAGAACAAGAATAATTCATCCAGTCCACTATAGGCTAGAACAGATTTTATTCTCAAGGCGTGAATGTACATCTGTACTCCTGCACAAGTACACAGCAAAGTTTACAGTGATGTGATGGCGTAGGCACTAGCTTGACATTTATAGCGACCATGTTCACAGTACAAGCTGTTTGTTAATCATTCAGTGTACCAGACAATATTTGAAGAGCTATGGAATTTAAACAGTAAGTTTAGCTAGTACAGACTGCTGTGTTTGTAAGTTAGTCTTCACTGGACTCCTCTGCAAGCTTGAAATATTAAACTAGAAACTGGCCAATACGAAGAGATTTCTCATAAGAATTACTAGTATACATGCAGGAAGATAGCCCACTAACTCCTTTGACAGATTACTGTGAATCTTGAAGCAGTGCTTTTGTTTCTGCTGTTTTCAAAGCTTTACAAAGTACATACATGTTGCAATACTGTCACCCAATATCCCTGTACAGACTAGATTTACATTCTATAAAATTGTTTCCACTATGGCAATCTCAATGCAGATTATGCAAAGTTTGATTTACATGCATTTGCTGGCATGAAAGCAAACAAAGCGATTCAACATTTAAAAGGCAATATCAGACTTTACTTCTCTGGTTGTCCAACATTTTGAGGTAAAATTACTAAAGGACAACAGAAAGCTCTCAAAGGTTGGGTACCAAACTTCATAACAATTTGCACACGTTAAATGGAATTTTCAAATTAATTCCCACAATTGCAGCGGACATCACAGTGAAACATGAAAACTGGAAAAGCCCACCTTTCTCTATAAGAGCTTCTCTATAAGAGCAGCATTACAGTGTTTTAACGTTACATCATTGAAAGACAAACATGCATAATCCAGTCTTGAACCTAGCAGTCAATGGCTGTTTGCTTTGTAACTTAATTTTGCAATGCTTAGTCACACAACTCAATGGATATTTCTCTTCTTGTGTAGCTAGCAACCATCTATTACAACAAATAGCAGGTACAAGATATTACACAAGTTGAAGTTTGTAGTTAAAGTAGTTTGCATAGTCCTATTTGTTACTGTACTGTGCTAGTCTCACCCAATGTTAAGTAGAACTTTTTACGTCTGGCAAGTTTAAAAGGTTCAAAGTTCCAAATGATGTTTTAGCCCAATTATATATTGATAAGCGCCTCCCCCCCATGCCTTCGCATTCCATACATTACACTGCAAATAAAAATTGTTATGATCTTAATAAAAAAAATGTCAAAAGGAATTAAAGTAAAACTACTACAAAGAGCAAAACAATGTCAATTCACAATGTTGCATTTGTGTGCACTTTAACATACATGTGTTACTTGTGTGTTTGTGCCTTTGTTTGTGTTTGAATGTGTGTGCATACATGCATGTTTGTGTACATATAGAAGTTCTGTACATTCCTGTAGTTTTGATATGGCTCTATTTTTTATGCCCACAGCCAATTTGGGCATCTTTTCTTGCAATCACCTACCTCTATATTAATTTCAATGAAGTAAATATGAAACAAGTCTGAACTGAAATTTCCAACACAAGAAATTGGGCTTACTCAAACTTGGGATTCATCTTTGTCAAGGACTAAGCAATCCATCGCCAATTTCTTGTGTTGGAAATTGCAGCTCAAACACAAAAGAACTCTAGAGACAATAAAGGAAACATACTGCCTGATCCATGTATACAAAAGATGATACCAACTATTACATAATATTTATTTTAATAAATTATAACAATAATGACAAATTAGAGTAAATACTGCTGCATTTTACGTGTTCTCTCTGAAAACATTTAAATCATTTTAACATTCTAAACATTATGTTCCCGCAGTATAACAGCAAAGCAAAATTTTTGTATCAAAATATAGACTGAATAAAAGCTATCAAATTTGTTACTTACCACCCATTATTACGGTTGCTTACCTGTTGAATACAAAATTAAATTGCAAGTTGGAGATTTAACATAATAGGCACCCAGTTACCATGTTACATGTGGCTCTAAAGATCTTGATAAAAAATGTCCCTCTTGCATTACACTACAATATATTTTGTTAGATCATTTTCTAGTCTTGTATCTATCCATGCCAGCAGCTTGCTCATACAATACCTTAGCTTCCAAAAACAACAAATAGAACCTAAAAATAATCAAAGCTAATAATATCTTGAATCTGAAACAAAATAGAAAAATGGAAAAACATTTAACAGTCAACATAAACTAGACAGGAAACATCATTTTACATATTAATTATACTGATTGTCCCACATTTTTAATGTCGTCTTTCCTGCACCATGTTCTGTATTTTCTACCAACATAACATTTTTATTGATGTCATTTACAAGGCTAACTATACAAGTACATTATAATCTTTAAGATTGCTATGTTCTGACGAAATGTGGTATCTTTCTCAAGTTTGTATTCTGTTGCTTGTTTCTATCTATTACTAGTGCCTGTCCAATTTCTAAATCCATCATCAACTCTTACTGAGTGCATTTTAGTATCATGTTAAACATGTTTTGAACATTTTTTTCCTGTATAGGAGAATTTCTGCATTTAATGAGTAGCTGACACTTTGCAAGAAATAAGTACGGATCTTTTGTGTTCTATAATTCAATTTGTGTTTCTATATATATCTGGCAACTATTACAGAATCTTTCAATTCTTTCAATTCCTGTGTTTTTTATGACTCTCGTCAAAATTGTAAATTTGGTAGTTGTATGTATTGTAATAAGTACATATTATGAATATCCATTCCACCAGTCATGGACTCCACCTTTTTTCCTATCAGTTTACAAATTACCAAGTCTTACTAACTAAGCAAGTACTAACTAGTAAGCGTTAAACAATTAGCATTGAAATATCAGTACATGACAAAGTAACTAAATACACATTATCTAAATTGATTCCCCCCTCTCTACCTGCCACCATGAATATGGTATCTAATTTCATTAAGTATTAATATGAACAGTCATGGCTCATTTTTCCTATAAATTAAGGCAAATCAGTTTGCTAGCACATGTAGCATATCTATTGCTTACCACATACTGGGCTTGACTGAGACCCACTGTATTTCGTGAGCCACTTGATAAAACTTTCATGCAAGGTTAACATCATGGCATAAATTGTTACAGCTTTCCACAACCTTCTAATATTGCCTACCTGTAGACAATCAATAGACATGGAAACAAGCGCAGGTCTCAAAATACCTTTAGTCTGTTAATTAATTAAATTATTCAAGTTGCACAAGCACAATCAGGGCTCAAAATACAGTACCTTCTGCATGCATGTAGTACATAAGTGCAGAAAAAACTGGAGCTCATAAGAAGGTATTTCTGATTTTGTTTACTGCAATACAGTACTCAATGTAACCACCTGTGAAATGTATTTCAAGCCCTGACTGTTCACAGACCTAGTAGTAAAATGGTGTACAGTGATCTAACATGTCTGGATGTCCATGATGTATAATCATAGCCTCTACCAGGCTTCAGAAGCAGCTGGAAAGAGTAGAAATAGGCCTAACATGCCAGGGGAGTTAACACTTTCAGAGCAGCAAACTGTACTAACTGACTGACTACCCTGGCATGTCATCTGTCTATTTTGACCAATTTCTACCCTTTCCAGCCCCCTCTGAAGCCTTGTAGAGGCTAATATAAACAGACCTAGATGGATCCTACAGTGTTCTACATTTGTACCATGTCTGGATATCCATAACGTACATGTAAACAGATCTAGGTGTAAAATGTTCCCTACTGACAAAGCTCTAACATGTATGATCTGGACAGGGTGTCGTCACCACAGTTTCATGTTCTCAGTCATGGAGAATCCCGGATTTTTCCTCATGTCCCAGTACGTGTTGTTGAAGGTCCACGAGTCGTGGTGCTGTTCATGTTTCACTCTTCTAAAACAAACAAACAAACAAATACAAGAAAACAAGAGGTTAGTTCATAAGTCTGAACCGTTCTTTGTCTGTGAAACAATCATACAAAACTGGCTAAGAAATTAACTACATATAATATGCTATTCAGAACATCTAGATCTACACAAAGAAAACAGACCTACTCCATGCAGAGCATAGGGGTAATGTCCATCTCTATTTCTAGCCACACAGTTGAGCAAGCACTACACAGCAGGGGGCTAGTCTGATGGTAGTGTTGTGTGTTTAACTGTCCCATACTCTCTCATAGGTAATCAGTGCTAACTGCTAAGCACATAAAGCATTACATAACATTTTTAAAGTCCCTGCAAAGACACTAAAAAGACTGAGTTTAAAAAGTAAATAAGGAAAATGCTGCCCTCCTTATTTTAGGTTCAGACAAACATACTCAAAAGATTGTGGTATCTAACTGAATCTTCAACTATGCTTACATTTCCTAGAATTTAGATGTTTCACCATACCTGAAGAACCTGGGTTGATACACTACCCCTCCCTCTTCTCTCTCTCGTTCCCTCAGTCTCTGCATCTGTTCCAGACGGACTTTCTCGTTCTGTGCTCGCTGAACCTGACCTTCCTCCAGCAGCCTGGAGTAAAAACAGGGTAAAGGGTCAACTTTACATTAAATGGTCCAGTTTGTTTGGCATAATATAACTGGTAAGCTGCCTTTAGGTACATGTATAGCACACCAGCTATTTAGGTTTGAACCACTTACACTAGGAAGAATCCCTGGCCATGGGATCTTTAACCTGCTCAAGTTGATGAACACTGCATGGTACTCTGGCATGGTACTTCCATTTCGAGTAGACGTCCTTTACCAAAGTTGTCCTCATTTTCACGGAGTCGAATGATAAAATTATAGGTGTCAAATGTTTTTGCCAAGGACACAAACAGTGGACCCTGTCATGGATTTGAACCCAAAACCTTCAAGATCCACAGTTTTGTGCATGTAATTTCAGAGAGACATCCTACCTCTGGTCTGGCCTGAACCTTGTGTCTGTGGGTGGGAGGGCCATCCTCAGCTCTGGAGTGAGTTCATTCAGCTCCACTGCAAACCTGGTGAAGCCGTAGTACAGGTCATACTCCTCCGGCATGGAGCCTGGGGACAGGATTTTTACACGTTATTTAGCTTGTCATTTCATACTTATTGTCTCATATATTAAGTCAATAGTATTGGAACTTGTGATGTGGCATGAGGATTAACTCTCACCACTGACTTTTCAGGAATTTAGGAAGTATGGATCATGCCAAAATCTGTTCAGGAACTATTGCTATCAATTCTTTTACACTTCATATTAAGCTTACCATGTAACAGTCACTGCAGCAAGTAAAAATCCACAAACACCTGCATACATAAGCCCAGTACATGGTGCAGGTAGACATCAGAAAAAGCCTGCATCGCTCCAATTTTACCTGCACTAGCGGTGCTGTGAGTCCTGCTATAGAAACCTGGTGCAAAGCATCAAGCCTAATATAATAAAGCCTAAAAGTGTGGCTAGCCACCCGCAGTGTTAGTCAAACTCATCCACGCAGTCGACAAACTTTATCTCAGGGCTGCCTCCTGAAGTTTAACCATTAAACTTTGCTGGGAAAAATGCAAGAAAGGGTAAGTCAAAACAGACTTTACAATGTCAGGAAGCTGTCATAGAGTCAGTCCAACTGAAAACACTGCTACAATGTACAAATTTGTGTTGTTGGCTACTAGTACAAAATTTACATGATTTTATACATGTATTTCAACACAACAAGCAAATCTCATGTTCTAGTATCCAGACAATGCATTATCCAAAACCATGCTCAGGCACAATTCTGGATAGTACTCTCACATCCAGAACCCTGCCTGGGACAAACCTAGTAGATGTTCTTGGACACACTTGGAGACTATCAGAACTGTGCCTGATCCTAACCCTAAACCCATTCAGGCTAGACAAGCACAGTTCTGGGTACAATAATGTCTTTCATGGGGACAGCCCTGGATAAAACACCCAACAAAGTACATCACTACAACATCACCACAGCTTCAAAAGGGAGGAAAACTACAGAACACACTCAGTAAACTGGTGGTAAGGTAAGGGGGGTAAAGAAGCGGTGTTAGAGAAATCCTTGCGTGATTGTTGTTGGGGGTGGAGAATCTCTAAAATCAACAGCAAGTCAATAATAATATTTGAATCAAAACAAAATTCAACGTTGTTGTCAGTGTGATTTGGTAGCCTGGAACCCCCTGTTCTTGGATCTGGTTTGTTCCAACACTGAATATACTAAAATGATACGTCAATTCTCATAATTCCACTGGATACCCTATGACTGCCTTGTGACATATAATCAAAAGGGAACTAAAGACAGCATCAGTAATACCCAAGTTAATTAATATGTACACATCAAATACAGTATAGGCATTCGATAGCCTCTATCTAGGCTTCATAAGCACCTGGAAAGAGTAGAAATTGTCTAAATAGACAGATGTCATGCCAGTGGAGTTGGTATGCCAAGGGAGCATAGTTTGCCACTACCCTGACATGTTATCTTTCTATTTGGCCAATCTACTTTTTCCAGCCACTTCTGAAGTCTGTTAGAAGCTAGCATTCAAGTTCTTCTTCAGAAGGCCTCAATAACACCATATTGTTTTTTAATGGCAATCTTAGGGATCTTAGTGGAATTATGAGAACTGATGTTACACATTAAACATATACTTGATGGACTGCAATGATGGAACATACCAAACACTGGAAAAGGGGGTTCCTTCAGCTGTTAGTTTGTTATGAGATCAACAAGGAAAATTTCTGATTGAATTTATTATGAAATTGGAAAATAGCGAGTCAAAAATTGGTTCTAATTTGTTCTGGCAGGGAGCTGCAGTTCTCCTCACCTTTCCTAGAGGACCTCGCTGCATCGCTGCCCATCATACGCATGAGGACCTTGTTTTCAGTCAATCTTACATTGGCAGCTACTCGTGTCACATGCATGCACAAAAAACAGGTGCAACATTAAAAGGCTGTACAGAACAGGTGCTGATCTGACACATGCTTAAGAGGCTAGCCTCCACCAGGCCTTCCAATTAAAGGAGTTAGAGATGGTCAAATTTGGCAAAAAATAGGTTTCTTTTGGTGGCTGCAAGACAGTATCAAATAGGCCAGACAGTATCCATCCATTTGGCTAGTGTAAAAAAAAAACAATGCAAGTACAGAAAAAGCACTAAAAACATCTAAAATCATGTCAAAAATAAGCCGAAGCTTAAACCTCTGCTTATTGGAGAATAAAGGGGAATAATTGGCCAGTAGAGTTAATCTGCAGTATGGGTAACGTTTCCTAATTGTTTGGACTCCCAAACTCCCCTGGCAAATTATTCTCCTTATGTACATGTAAGAAAATAATAATTATATTCTTCAGCCAGTTTAAGTCTGGTGGAGACTATTGAGAACAGAGTTGACATTACATTGCTCACAGGACAGCCATCGATGTGTAATTGTGCTTCAAACGATTACACGTCAATACTTGTTATGTTTTAAACTATGTTTGCCAAGCTTTTAGTAATACTACATTTTGTAGTTGTCTAAGAGCCTTTCCTGATCCTTGTATTAAGCATTAACTGCAATATTGTGTTAGAAGAAAGTATGATATAAGTGTATAATGAATAATTTCCACATTGTACTATCTTTCATCCTTTCAACAAGTTGTAAGTTTACACTACACAATACATTCACACTTATACATGTACTAAAACACTTCCGCTATTAATATTAATAATTATTACACACTACCAGACATTATCAAATTGCATATATTTTCACCAGTATTTTACTAGTAATACCAAACAGTCAGGCTAACGTTCACTTTTGATACTTACGTACATCCAAGTATACACTACAGTAACACATTCACACTTACAGAGTGTATTATACAATCACTAAGATCACAAATTACACTAGACATGTACTTATTAATAAATGTAACATATTGAACAATTCACACTTAAATGCATTTACAATTTTGTAAACTACATTTCAGCTCACCCACATACATACATGTATGTACACGTGCCTGCACACGCCCACTTACCAGGTCTCCATATACACTTTGCACTGGGAGGATGTCCACACCACAGCCCTTCATGCCACTTGCCGAACAGATGATGCACTTCCTTCCCATCCTTATCTAACACTGAACCCAGCACGTCATGGCAGCGGGTACTCCAGTAACTCGCCTGCAGGAAACACGGGCAATCTTAACTTTCTAAAGCCATCTAAGTATGTACTAGTATACATATGCGTGTACATGTACGTCAGAGTAGGGATTTTGATCTGATTCTACCAGTAGAGATCCCAATCAGAGTCTCTATTAAACAGAAACTGTGATCAGAGTCTCTGCCGGTAGACAAGTCTATCAACCTGCAATTCATGTTCACGATATCATACATGTACAGTATTAAAAGATATTGTATATGCAAGCACTGATAGTATGTGATTGAATTGAATGTTTCACTTTTAGTTTTTTTGTTGGGCAATGTTAAGTTATAGCAACAGACTCCATCCTCAAATGTCACTCAGTATATGATGATATAACTCAGTAAGCAATAGAGAATAAGCCAAATGGCTACTTCAGTCTAAATTATCTAAAGAGGGAGCACTGCACTTTCTTTAGAGTCCTATATTACAAGCCTATTATCCTAAAACTAATTATAAGCTACATATAGTGTTGGTAGCCAAATGGCTACTTCAGTCTAATGATCTAAAAAAAAAGGACCACTACACTTTCTTTGGAGTCCTATATTTCAAGCCTGTCATCCTAAGCTATACATAATGTACATGTAAATTTTAATATAGATGAGAGTGGGACAAGTGAAATGTCTGACTGGGACTTACAGGCAGTTTAACGCCCCGCCCTGACTGTGGGTCATCAGAGAAAAAGCGATCGACAATGGCGGATTTGAGCGGTTGGAAAGTCTCCGCCCACCACGTGATGGTAGAGATGTACTGTGGTGGTGGTGGTGTCGTGTGCAGGGAACGAGAGAAGGAAAGAAGACAGAAGAGACAACAGAAGGGAAACATGGAGACAACATGAAATAAGAGGAGGGATGGTGCAAAGGATAGATGACAGGCAAACAGAAATAAGAGAAGATATGTTGAACACATTATGCAGTGATCATGATAACATACATGTATGAACAACAATATGAGTGACAGATATAGGGTGAATGTGACATGATTCTTACACAAATGAATATGCTGTATCAGCTGAAGTGTATATTCTATCCAGTTTGAAATTTTTTCTGCCATCTCAATTTAGTTTGACGTAACATTGGACAGTGCACAGTGGACCAGTCATAACTTCCCTGATGAAGATGACATCAGCATCAAAACTGTCATCAAAACATTGACACTGCAAGTGGTTGTGAATAAAGAACTTTTGTTTTTTGTTTGTTTGTTTGTTTGTTTATCTTCTTCTGTTGTCTGCTGACCTTGTGAAACATGAGTCTACAGGTGATGTCCTTGTTCTTGATGACCTTCTCCCCGTAGTGGTCCATCCAGCGCTGACCGGTCATGATGTTGTGGATACAGGACGTCACCTTACTCCAGCTGTAGTGGTCGTTGTACCTGCAGAGGAAGAGAAGGACATACAGGTGGTCATTCAACAAGCAATCACTAGAATGAGAGTACATGTACATGTATAATGTACCTGGTTTGTTTTGCATAACCTGTAAACCGCCTAGGCCTAACACGCCAGTTTTGTACAGAAGGTATACAAGCTGTGTAAGACCAACTGTAAGATTTGAACCACTCACACCAGGAAGGACCCCTACTCTTTGGGAGTGTTGTGGGATCTTTACACCAAAAGACACCTAGCCTTTCCACATCTAACTTTAAACATTATGTTTACAGTTGTCTGGTGATTACCCCAACTGCACTGTGAGTTTGACTCTATGATAGTTATAGTTGGTTGATAACTCTGGTACGTGAAGACATGACTATTTCTTCTTCTTTTCTGAGCTAGTTTTAGATGCAGATACAATGTACATAGTATTTGGTATGTCCACCAGTACTCACTTTGGTATGGAAACATTTACAGTTCCTATTGGTATAATCTCCATGGACTTTCCCCAGAACTTGGTTTTCAGTCTTGCATCTGCAGGAAAAAAAATATAACCATTTAGCATATGTTGCTTCCCGACATAAAATATTAAACAAAGATTGTCCCCTATAAGAACTATGTATCTACTATGAGAACCACATATGACGTAAAAATCTGAAGATAAGTAAAATTAGCCCCTACCTTGCCAGAAGACCCATTTCTCCCCTTTACAGTGGCAGGCTGAGATGGGAGGGTGGTGACTAACCTGCAAGTTATGTAAACATACAAATGTACAACATGCCATAATATTGTCACATGCACAGTAAAATCTTATCCTTCTACCTGCTATGTGCCTATTTTGTCATCTGCTTTTGGCACTAAGTTTGTACTGGTCACATTGTCAAGCAGTAGGGAAAAAGGCTTATAACATATATAATCTTGTGTCTTGAACTGTTAGCTATAGCCAACTTTCATAACTTCAAAGCATACATACAAGAGACTGACCAAACAATGAGACAATTCTAACTCTCCTATATACATGGAAGACGTCAGGACCTACAAAACCAAACATGTATCCAATACAGTTTTTCTGTAAAAAATCCATTATGAAACCAAACCCACACACCTGTTCAGCTATGAAGCTGAAGCCCTTATCTTCCCTCACACACTCGTATGTCTCCCCCAGTAGTGGGTTGAAGGGTTTCTGTCCTGCCCTGTAGTATGTAGAACTGTAGCCTGACACAGCAAACGCTGCTATCAGGGCCTGGGGATAAACAGACAAACAAATAAACCCACAAATGAAACCTCTGTGTTATGGGTAGTGCTGGAAAAAACAGAGAGAAATGTACAAACTTTTGCTGAAGCCAATACTAAATTTTGTACTATGGCTGAGACAGATTTTACATGTATAACATTCATTTCAAAATATACTTTACATCTGACAATTAAATCTAGCAGATGACAGGGCTCAAAATACTGCGCATGTGCACCTTAGTGCACCCAAAATTGAAGCTGTGCACCCAATTTTTTCTGTGGGTGGACTGGTGCACCCAAATATTTTTGTAGGTATTTTTGCATTTTGTACATATCGAATGTATAATAGTGTACAGGATATTCTTGGCATCTAATTATAGGTGTCAGAAAAACAATAAAATCTTTCTTGTAAGTTGTAGTACTTGTTTAAGATTTTTTTGTGCACCCAATTTTTTAGGTTGGGTGCACAGGGCACCCATTCCAAAAAATGAATGAATTTTGAGCCCTGGATGAAAACAGAGGACTAGGAAAAAAACCTACATGTAACTGAGTGTATTCTCCTGTGCTCATTGAGACTATGCATACCAATCGGTAAAGACTACACCCTATGTTTTCATTTTCATATTTTTTTAAATTCTGATCTGAGAACTAACAGATGCTGTGGCCTCGAGTCCAAAATCAAGCCCCTCAGCATTTCTATCTCAGTCTTTGTTTTTGTGCAGATGCAAATCAGAGTCTGAATACCGTTAACAGCCTCTGCACACCACTGTGTTAAGTAATAATCAATATGCCTTCCCTACACAGAGTGAGAATCAATGGCATCACAGATGTTAGTCCACCAGATAATCCATGTTATTATAGACCCAGGTTCATCAGCCTGCAGGTCACTGGAGCGTAACACGTCGGCAGAACATACTGTGCCTGACTGAAATCTGTAATGTCTTGTGTATAGCACTTAGGCAGAACGCCTCAAATATGGTTGTATTTGCGCATATGACGTTAACATCCCATCTGTAGATTCCAAATGTATTGTTGGAAAAGATATCGTGTGCAACAGGCAAAATTCTGGTGCAACGTTGACGAAACATTCAACGAAAACTGAAAAATCAGGGTTTCGCGCCTGCACAGTACATTTTGCCAACATAGTGTGGCTCTTTCTACACAGCCTTTAACAGTACTCATAACATTTTTTCCATACCTGGATGCCATTTCTATACCTAACAGCTTTATGTTGAAGTTCATAAACGTTTTGTTTCTGTTCTCCATACTGACCATTCGCTCGTAAGGATTGTCTGTCTCAGCAGCCTTGTCCAGTAGTTCTGAATACTCCAGCTCCTCTGCCAGCCGCTGTAATGTGTTCAGGGGTTCATTCATCGTCACTGGCATACACACCTGGAAATAACATGTCAGGACATGGTTCAGATTTGAATCCACCTTTTAACAAATAGTATATATGTGTATATACAAGTATATTTTACTGATCCTTTGGCAATTACCAGTTAAGACAATAATATATTCAGGATTTTAGACATGGTCATCAGGAAAAAATGGATATGTTTTGGCTTAAATAGAACAACAAAGATTATCCTTGCTTTGCTGAAAGCTCTATTTGATTGACTCTATACCCCTTATCAACCAGAGTTTGGTCTAGTCTTGTCACACATTTGGTCTTGAAAACCTAGAATAACTTTCAACAGATAAAGCACAGTGATACAACAACAGTTAAACATTTATGATAGTAAATATTGGTTTCTTACAACAAAAGAGTGCAATTTTGTACTAGTTACACAGTAAAGTAACCTATCAAATACACCTTATCAATAGAAAGCACATGTATACATCACAACCATGAATTCAGCACCAAGGACAAAACATACTGGGTACTACACAGCAGTAAGAATGCTATTATTAAAACATAGAACTCTTTGAAGAGGTTCTACATGTACATATAAGTCTTCAAAGATAACTCCTTAGACATTACTAGTACCACTTCCTTGGACAGAGGTTCTACATCTATGTTTTAAAAGATAGCTCTTAAGACATCCCCCCACCTTGGACAGATCCTTGCCGATGTTCTTCCTCATGATGCTCCAGATACTGAGGTCACCGACCTCTGGTTTAGGGCAGGGCAGCTGGGCACGGTGTCCCGTCTGTCCCATACTGGGGTCTTCTGGGAAAAACAAACAAACAAATAAACAAATAAATAAAAACAATGGTTAAATACTGTTGCTGTAAGATATATAGTACACATGTCATCAATGCAAAAACATAGTGGTAAAGTTTTTAGCTTACACAAAAAAAGAAACTCACCATAAATTTCTGGTTGGCAAAGGTTGGTGAGATTGACCAAGAATTTATGGAGTTTCTTTTTTTGCGTTGGAAGTTCAACTAAGCTTAAAGTTCACAACTATGGATTCTACCAACACAGATGAGCTTTCATTCAAATGAAAATACATTGCACATGTACAATGTACATGTACAATGTACAATTGTTACAGGCCAATTCAGAATGGTTGGGCTTACATGTAATTAGTCCTCAAAATAACCTAGAATGAAGAACTTAGTTAGTAATAATAAGTAACGAAATTAAACATGTGTGCAATGAGTAATCATCAATTATTGTTGAACTTATTAACTAACTAATAAAACAAAACTATTAACTGCTAACAAATTTGAGGAAAACCGTGAGTTGCCAGTGTGTGAAACCCAGCTTTAGTTACAACCAGCCTACATTACACAATCATGCACCAACCTATTAAGAATGATTATTGACCGTATTGCCCGGAGGATCTAACACAGGAGACTAAAAACCTGGGGTCTCTGCCACTACAACAGCCTCATGTCTGCCTGTGGGGAGAATTACAGCACGTCAATCTTTACTGATGACGAAATCTGTTTGTTTGTAGTAAAGTTATGAAAAATGGTTTGTAGTTTTTTCAAGATTAAATTTTGAATATCTGTTAGAGTTACCCACTAGACTGTCTTATTCTGTATTATCAACATAATACTATTAATACTATTATTATTAATAATTAGTTTTGTATTCACACTGGTTAATATTCTGACATCAATACTGGACAGTGAGTTTGTGGTAAAATTTTGGATAATTATGCAGTTTTTGCAAGATTTGAATACCTGTTAGGGTTAGTCAGTAGACTGTGCAGCTATTCTAATATTATACAATGTAATACTAATATTTGGTTTTCAATTTTGCTGCTAAATATTCTGACCCTAATAGTGGATAATGAATAAGCATCATTACAAAACACACCATCCGGAACAGTCTAAATCTTTTAATCTATTACCTATTGATTGAGGAAAGAAAAGAGCTATAGGGAGTTTCAGGAGTTTTTATGTTGCTCTGTAAACATAAACAGTCTTGAATGGAGAAAAAAATGCAAAATGACTATTATTATAACAGATAAAACTAAATTCTTTACATCACCCAGATCTGTCTAAATCTTGATATTTGTTGATTACGGAAAGAAAAGAGACATAGGGAGTTTCTATGTTGCTCTGTGAATGAATAAAAAGAGTAAAAATGACTATAAAAGATAAGACTAAATTCTGTGCAGCACATATCAGTAATGATACCAAAATTGAACCATTATTTAGATTTGCTCTACTTAATAGCCTCCGGTCGCCCTGTCTATTCAAACTGCAGTCTCATCACCAACAAGGTCCCAGACTCAATACCCATGATTAAACTGGAATCTACTTTACGTTCCTCCATAATTGTGTTTCCATCGATTGCCGGTAACGATGCTATCTGGACAAATGTCAAAATACCAGCCTTTTAGGTAAGGACTGTATAATTTTGTTTCATTAATCTAGATCTCTTGTGGGTTTTCAAGAACACTTTCAGAGGCAGTGAAGAAGAGATATGTGTAAAGGAATTTGCAGACCCCAACAAAATCTTGGAACCATTTCTTGGACTTGAACCATACATACATTGGGTATATATGATTCACAACAAATTTTGTTTGTTTGTTTGTTTGTTTGTTTCCTCACTTTCAGATCGGTGGTGGGTTTTTAAGAATACTGTAACAGTTCTGTTTCCTTACTTTGAGATCTGTTGTAGGTTTTAAGAACACTATCTACATGGAGGACAGTGAAGAAGACGTAATTAAAAGGAATTTGCATGACCTACAATGTAGAAACACTGGAAAAAATTTCAGGATTCTGAATCAAATATCCCACAAATATGCCTAGCCTAAATACATAGCAGCATGCTCTTATTACTTAAATGTGCCAGAGATATATACTTGTAGAGCTATGCAAGACCAAATACGAAGATACTGATAGAATTCCACAACATGTTACATTGCATTGCAATCTTACAGATTAAAATATCCTAGAAATATAACAACCCAAATACATGCTCTTATTATTCAGATATACCCTCAGTATTCATAATCAGGGACAGTATTTACGAAACAAAACAGGTCATACCTTGCGGGTATTCCATATCCTGATCCATCCTCATATGCACCTCTAATAATGAGTCATAAGCAGCAACACTACAGGTATGTGTACATGTAGAAGCAAACATGCAAAATTGCAGGTCCATTGGCTGTTCCAGATTGAATGAGAGCTTAAGCTGAGGGACAGGTGTGCCGAAACTGGGGTAAAATATGGGAGGCTATTAATGGGGGAGGCTTAAAACATGCAGAGGTCAGTGGCCTTTGCAAGTGGAACTAAAAATATGGAACAAATACTTTTAAATGATCAGTAAAGGCTATAAATTTGTTACACTACGTCTAATACTATCAAATTGTTATAATTCTTATTCATTTTATTCATTATTTATCTATCACGATTATTCCTGTTTCCCTTAGCTAGGATGACTCAACTCAGTATCCAGTCACTGGTAGATGTTGCCTAAAATCAATATACATTTGTTATAAAATACACTCAAGAGGCATTGGTGAAAACCCCACAGGAGCCCCACTGCATGCAGCATTTAAGATCCCATTTATTCCAACCTGACCTCAATCTAAGTTTGGACACCTGTCCCCGTGATTGGCTACGCTTGAGATAGGACCATACCATTCTTCCACAGGGGTGTACGTGTACACATACACATTCAATCACACAAATACGATGGCTCACAAATGCAGCATATTCCCTTGAACTTATTGATCTAAGCCTACATCTATGCCCTCTATCTCACAGAGGGACCTTCCCTACAAAATTGCCACCATTATTCTGGCAGGCTTTCTTGATAGGAATTCTTTATTACCACAACTATAGTGCAAATCCATCAAAGGGGTGTCCTTCAAACACAATCACACAAATATAATGCCTTACCCTCCACAATACAGCATATTCCCTTGAACTTATCGATCTAAACCTAATATGTATGGCCTTCCCGCTATGAAAATAAGAGAGAAAGGGTCCTTGCCTAGTGAATTGCTAGAATTATTCTGCCAGGCTTTCTGTATAGGAATTCTTTATTACCACAACTGTAGTAGGAATCCATCAAAGGGGTGTGCATGTACACAATCTCACAAATATATTGCCTTATTCACCACAATACAGCATATTCCCTTGAACTTATTGTTCTAAAGCCTATATGTATATGATGTATGCCCTTCCCACTATGAAAATAAGAGAGAAAGGGTCCTTGTCTACTGAATCACCAGAATTATACTGGCAGGCTTTCTGGATTACCAGAACTGTAGTGCAAATCCATCAAAAGGGTGTCCATCAAACACAATACAGCATATTCCCTTGAACTTATCGATCTAAAGCCTATAAGTATGCCCTTCCCACTATGAAAATAAAAGAGAAAGGGTCCTACAAAATTGCCAGAATTATTCTGCCAGGGTTCTATAGGAATTCTTTATTACCAGAACTGTTATAGGAGTCCATCAAGAGAAGAATTGGGTTATATGCCCAAAGGGAGAACATTGTTATTCCGGTAACATCATACAGGATTATTTTATATCCCCACCAAACGGCCCTCCTGATTGCGCCAATCTTGTACCCACTGTACAATGGCATGTACTGTTCAATATTGATTTTAGGGGTGGCTTTCTCTGATGATTGAAAATCATACAGAGGAGCGAAAATCAAATTTACCTGTAAGTGATGTATTGGTAATACAAAATAAACCAAGCAATGGTATAAATTCTCAGTGAGAAGGGTCTGATGTTTCAGATAGCCTTCACTATTCTTATATATTAGTGACGGAGAGTAAGTATGTACCTACAAATGTACATGTATACATGTACCTAATAGGTTGTTCTGCAACAGAATGTTATTTGCTGCCTTTTTTAAAAGTGTCATATAACGTAATGACCAGTCTGTATTTTACAATGAATATACATGATGGGCCTACATTTGAAGGTGACTTATTCATCTAATAAAGGTAATTTGTAATGTCATCGGCATTAATTATCATTGTTGTGTATTATTGCCCATTTATCAAAAGGAAGAATAATTACATGTTTATGATAATGATCTAAATGCATTGCTACACATTACAACCTCCTGATTTCATTATCCTACATTCATTACTATCAAACTCTCAAATTGCACATTTCTACATCAATACATGAGAGTATGCTGTAAGCCAAGGGTTACTCATAGGACAAGACATAACAGACAAAAGCTTTTAAATTATCTGTTTATCATATATCGGTATAGTTTGAAATAAAAAGTAGTAAGCATTACCCATGGCTGTAGTGGTAGAGTCGTCAGTTGCCATCGTCTCTTCTGATTCGCCGCTGACAAGAGACTCATCTTCTGACTCCTATGAAAACATCAGAATAAGACGTTCTTTTCAACATCATTATATAATTGTCTTTCAGATTTCTTCTTCCACAAGACACAAGTGACAAGACACAAGTGACAAGACTTTTAATAATTTCTATTTGGGACTATGATAGCTCAGTATTGTATAACAAATTTTATATCATATATAGAAACACTTTACATTTGGAACCGCATATTTCCCTATGATGTAACAATGCCTAGTATGTATGTCACAATTGCACTACGTTCAGAAATGCATTGTTAACAGTAAAAACTAGCGTAAGTGCACTGTGAACTATGTAACACCTTTAGTGCACTACATGTATGCACCAAGTAACATCTAGCGTCAGTGCACAGTAAACCAGTCAGAATTGTCCTGATGAAGATGACAGACGGTCATCGAAACGTCGGCTTGTTAAATATAAATGGTTGTGATCAAAGAACTTTGCTATTCAAAAGCACATCCCCTTCAGACATTTACAATGTATGCCCTTCGCCATGCCATAACTTCAAAGGATTATCGCATTTGAGATAATTCTTGACCACATGAATTCGAAGCACAATAATGTATTATTTGCTCAATCATATATAGGCCAGTACTGAAGTTAAGCATTGCCAACATCTAGTAGGAAATTGAAAACCTTACAGTTCAGTCTCAGGGTTGACAGCTTAAAGAAGGTCATCTTTCATGTCAATCCTTTCACAATTTGTGGTAAATCTCAGAGTTTTCAAATAAACAAAAGAAAAGTTTTGCTCTCACCCCATCTGAGCTTGAGCTGGAGATGAGGAACTCTTCTGCATCAAAGAACTCGGAGACAGACTCTGTTGTGGAGAGGCTGAGGTGGTCATCTCCCGAGAACTGCCTCTGAAGGAGGGGGGGTTTCTGAGGACAGACATGATCAAGGGTTAAAATTACAGCAAGTTTGAATTATAACAAACAACAGCAAATGTGTATGAACAAATGTAGCTCCAGTTTCCTTTGCACGAGGTATTAAAAGACATTGTTGAAAGCTATGTAGTGATGATGCCCCTACTGCACTTGGTGGCAGTGAGTTCCACTCTATGATAGTGAGCACCTTAACACCTCAATTCTTGCGTCAAAAACAGTTACTCAAATGGTTTTGGAATTACTGGAAACAGTCAGATGTTTCAGGTAGCATCCACTACCTTTCATCAGTGATACTAGATACTGCAGGAGAAATGCAGTTTTAATTCTTGGTTGATAACTCTCACTGGCGATTGCAGGCAACACTATTCCTTGACTGTTCTTTTCTGAGCTAGTTTTAGATACTTCGTAGATCACACAGGAAATGCTCCTATTCCTGACCTGATCCAGTGTTCCTCCTGGAGTCTGTACCGTAGACAGGTCTGCTTCTCGAGCAATCCTGTTTAACCGAGCTCGCAAATCTGCATTCTGAGCCTGGGCCTGAAAGTACAACAACACTGACTACATTACTTTAAAAACACAAAAAGCTACAGCATCAGGCATAAAAAACTTAAGTCTAAGAGAGATGAAGTTAAAGTTTTAGCAGCATGCAGTATTGACAAACATCTAGACAGTGACATGAAGAAAATTATCAAAAATTAAAATAATCTTTTTGTGTTTTGTTGTCTAATATATCATAGTTTCATACATATCATTCTCTGACTGCCTAGCCAGTTTGGAAATTGTGACCTCAGCATGAACTATGACCTGTACCCTATGACCTGACCTGTGCCAGAGCTGTGCCCAGCCTGTCTGCATGTCCACCGTGACCAGCAGGACTCAGGACCTGCTGCCCCATGACCTCTACCCTTCTACCCTATGACCTGTACCCTATGACCTGACCTGTGCCAGAGCTGTGCCCAGCCTGTCCACATGTCCACCATGACCAGCAGGACTCAGGACCTGCTGCCCCATGACCTGTACCCTATGACCTGTGCCCTATGACCTGACCTGTGCCAGCGCTGTACCCAGCCTGTCCGCATGTCCACCGTGACCAGCAGGACTCAGGACCTGCTGTCCCATGGCATCCTGGAGCTTGTCTCTCTCTGACCTCAGGGTCAGGGTCAACACCTTCAACTGGCTGTACACTGCAAGAAAAGAATAATGACACTCTTAAGTAGTGTTTACTTCCAACCTGTAACTTAAAACAGTTACTATTCTTTAAGGACTTAGTTATCAACTTTAACTGGCTGTAGGCTGCAATACAGGAAAAAATGACTTCAGAGCTGGAACTTTAGAACATAAAACTATTCCTTAGTGGTACAGTCAACACCTATAACTGACTGTAGACTGCAAGAAGAAAAATGACATTACCTGGATCTTTATAACCAAAAACTAACACTTTTTTTCACAGTGCAATTTTTCTTTTTTGTACTGCACTGTCCACAGTCACTGTAACAGTTACAACCACCAATAACTACAGTTTAATTGTATTAAGCACACAAACCAAACTTTAGTTTAAGAAATGAAATACTTTTGCAGCACTGCATGCAGTATTCACAAACAGTACCATCAACAAGAAAAAAAAATCATTTGTTTTGTTTTTCTAAAACCTAAGATTGTGTTCCCATTTTGGGTCCTTCAAGGTGCAATGCAATGGTGACATCTAAGCCATTATTTCTCTAATCTGGAGAATACAATAATCAAGTTTATCCCGCTCACCTTCCTTTGCATTGTTGACAAACTCCTGTCTGAGTCTCATCTCCTCTGACCTCTGCTGACTGGTAGGCGAGGTGGGCGTCGTCTCTGCAACGTAAACTTTCTTTGCTACAGGGAAAAACAGCAACTCACTAAGTAATAGACATGCATGCAGGCAACCACAGTCAACGAGGGATTCTTGGTGTTAGTAGCTATCCTCAATATTCTTTGCTACAGGGAAAACAGCGACTGACTATTAGTAAGACATGGAGCATGCAAACAACCACAAGGAACAGGGGGATTCTTGGTGTTAGTTTGAGCTATCTTAAATAGTACTGGTAAGTGCTTTTGACTTTTCTAACTTCAGTACTTTTTTCTCTGTTGCTCTATGATGACCAGCTCACTGCTGCCCACCTCTATGTTACTGTTGTTAGTGATCCCTGAAGCAGTATAATCAAATATTAGAGACTACCATATGAACTACAAACCGCATCTGAACTGCAAACGAATAGAGAATCTGTAGCTAAACGGCTACTTCATTATGCAAAAGGTTAAGTTGATGTAATATTCATGCAGGGGTGTTAATGTTCATTGCATGTTTGCATGGATAAAAGAAAGCAAACCAAACAGACCCAGGCTTTGCAGACAATACCTTACAAAACCACACCATCAAAACAAACTAACTTGCAGTACTACCTCTGTCTGAAAGGTGGCACTACTACACAGTCTAATCATTAATCTAGACTCAACATTCAGCACTAATAGGGGGGAAAACTTGTAACCTTGTAACCAAACAAACTTCACAGAAGGTTCTTACCATTCTCAAGTTTTCCGTTAAGTTCTGCATTCAGGTGGAAAAAGAGGTAGACTTTTCGTGATTTTAGGGCAACATTACAAGAATGATTGTAACGTGGAACATTACAAATTAATCTATCTTATAAAGGCTTTGAAGGAGAAACTTCAGAGATGCCTGCCTCTTACACTTCGAGTTTAACCGAAGAAAAAGGAGTTACCCTCTGAGTGAAAACCTTCTTTATTTTGCACAAGATATGGCTCAAGAAGTTGCCCTCATCCAATGCAATTTTTGGGTGGTAAAACATGGTCTGCTCTGTTAGTTCTTACTCAAACACACTCATACATGTATACATGGTGACAGGAGTCTAAATCCCTCCTGCTATAAAACTGCAACATGATGTAACCCAACACTAATTACCAAGGTAACAGATGTCTGGCTCAGGTCATTGACCTTATTTGTTTGGAGAAGAAGAAGAAATAACAGAGCAAAAATAATATGTTTTCCCTCTGCAAACTAAGGTAAACATAAAAGAAGAAGTTACCCTGAATGAACAACATTTTGCACCATTTTGGCTCATGAAATATTTTCCCCACACCGACACAGCCAGCCTACCTGAGGAGATGTTGGGGGTGGACATGTGGTGAGGCTGCTTCTCTACTGCAAGTGTCGAGGGAGGCGGCAACTAACAAAAAAAAGAGTACATGTACATCCATCATCCACAACTAGAGACAATTTCATGTCGAACTGAATTGATTTTTGTTCTAATCTTAAGGTATCAATCAACAGTTGTACTAAAGACCATAAAGACTTGCATCAGTATCATACACAGACAATGATTTTCGCATTGATTTTTGTTTCGAGATCTTTGAAAACATGATATCAAATCTGTTACTATAGCTCCTGTGCTGTCCTAGTTACTATAAATGTCTTTGTTGTTTCATACACATGTATGACATTATCAAATTTCACTGTTACCATCGCCCCTGTGCTGTTCCTGTTACTACTGGCGCTCGCTGTGCTGGAAGTACTGCTGCCTCCGTGACTCATGGACTTCTTGTGTTTGGACTTGCGGAATGACAGACGCCAACTCTTCTTCTTGGAGGCCAGATCCGGAACCTGTAAATGTTGGGAGTCAATTTGTATATGCTTCAGCACAAAATGCAATACATTGGACTTGCCAGATTGAAACACTTTGAAATACACCTTCCACACACAAAGTACTTATAAAAGTATTCAAGAGATCTGCATTCTTACCGAGAGATCTAAGTACTTGTACTGGTCGTCCAGGGAAGACTGGAGGCGCTGTAACTCCTGTAGAATACTGTTCAACTGGTAAACCTTGGTCTGCACAGAGGACAGTTCTGAAAAAAAAACACAGACACAAATGTGAACATTACATGTGTTGTAAGTCTACTCTGAGTTTCTATACAGAAGACAGACATAGAATTTAATTGATACATGATTGAAGAAGTGTTGTCCCCACTTTGTAGCATCATATACAAAAGCACTGATGTCATTATCCTAGCTTGATATGCCAATATCCACAGCTCACTCTTAGTAATTTACTCATCCATCCATCCATCTAGCCACATACTATACATGTACCAATAGAAGGTTTTTGCTACAAAGCATTTTGCAATTCACTGGCCTTCATTGTATCTAACTCACAACAAAGAAACAAAAACAAACAAACACACCTTTATTGCACTGTTCCATGGCCTCAGACTCCATGAGCCAGGCCGCCACCCTTCCCTGGCCGAGCGCACTGCTGCTGCGAGACATCGTCCTGGGCATGCTCAGTCGCCGGTTCTGAGGGAAAAGAACAGCTAAAATTAACTACATGTACATTATTGTATGATTGCATTTTTTAGTCAGTACTAAACAGCTACTAGTAGCCTCTACCAGGCTTTGGAAGCAGCTGGAAAGAGCAGAAATTGTGACAAGCTGTACTCCTTTCACGGACAGACTCCCTGGCGTGTTATCTGTCTATTTGGCAAATTTCTACTCTTTCCAGCTGCTTCAGAAACCTGGTAGAGGCTATAAAATAGCTACTGGTGAACAAGACATTACCACAATACAAAGCCTCAAACACATAAATTGTTAAACTTTTCTTTCAAACCTCTGTTATGAAAAAATCACTGCAACTACCTGAAACTACATTGTTATCAACAAAAGAAATTTCCCCATAGTACTGTTACTCGCTGCACCATAATACAAGAAGCTTACCCTGTACCAGGTAAAAGCAGAATGCACAAGACGTTTACAGATATGTGGATGCAAACTAATGAAATTTTTTCTAAAAAAAGTTTGAATTTTGAAGCAATATAATTGTACTCATCTTTTCTTCTCTTATTATCATGTGCTATTCTATAGAAATACATGTAAAGACTTTCTGTGCTAGTGTGGAAAGCTGTACCCACCCTTATAAGTGGAGGAGTCTCAGGAGATAGCGGTGTGGAGAAGACATCGCTGTTGTATTTCGAATCAGACCCTCCGGAAGCGATCTCATTCTGCCGCCACAGACGGTGTTCCCGCAGTTTGGACACCCAGATGTTAAACAGGTCATGTGACTTCAGCTGCCAATCAAGCGACGGGATTCAACAATTTAATAACCCAAACATTATAATCTTCTGTCTCAAAAAAAAAAAAGTCAAACCTTCAGGCAAGATATTCCAATAGAAGATTATTAATACCTGAAGCTACTGAAACTGGAATATTAAAGTCAAAAGGGAACTGTCTGATTTTAGGATTGTGCACTTCAAAACATTTCAACAAGATTATCTTTTGTAGTAATCTATGTTTGTTCTCTGTGATTCTCGTAATAATCTATTCTGTTGTCCTTTTTTTGTGTACATGTAGTGCAACATGTTGTACATGTACATTGTAAGTTCTTTCAACTTGAGTGAGTCCCAACACTGCCTTTTTCTTTGTGTTCTGTTCGTCAGGGTTGAGTATTGACAGAAACTCCAATCAGGATCTTTGCAGTGATTCTACCTGGTCAAAGTCTCTACCATGACAATATATTGTGTGTTTCATCAGTAAAAGGATTTAAATTTAACAAAATACCCATTGCTTTGACTCAAGATGTTTACAGAATACATGTAGATAGTTACAAACTTATGACATTTTGTCTGAAAAAGTTTGAATTCTTCAAAGCAAAAGATTATACATGTATAACTCATTGAACACACACAGAGAAGACTTTCTATACTAGTGTGAAAACCTGTTAAACAGTTCATGTGCCACATTACCCCCTCCTGTACCTTTAGATGGTAGATGCTGTCCTCTGTGTCCAGGTCTATCCTTCGTGCATCCTTCATGATGGACATCACTGACAGACCAACATCTATACTGCCATGGAGCTTCCCTCTCTGAACCTAAACAGGTCCCAACGACATGAGGCAAATCAGTTTACAGTCTATGTTTTTACTAATACAGAATATTATGATACAAGTTTTTTGTCATAGTTGTGAGATCTGGGGTACTTTGGAAGACAATAAAATGATGGTTCATCAATAAAGACTGAGATATTTTGAAAGACTCACCGACTGAAGTCTCTTGGCATATTTCAGGAACCCTTTCTCCAGGACAAAGAATCTCTGCAAAGGAAAGACAGAAATTAAATCAAAAGATGAAGATCTAGTACAACAACATCTCACCAATATTTCAATGTATAAAAAGCAAGTCATTATGAAGCAAGTTAAAACTGTAATTTCCAACACAAGGCAATTCTGATACCAGTACATGTAGGTCCAATTTCTTGTGTTGGCGATTGAAGTTTAAACTTGCTTCTGAATATATAAAAAAACAACGCACAAAACATTGATTTCTCCCCTACACAATATTCTAGCCAGCATCCATCTTTCTGTCATTTGATGGAATTTAGTTGCTCGTGATGGACACAAATTTTGCCCAGCCCGTCATCTTTTAATGCAACAATCAGCATGTAAAGATATGTAAAGACTTTAAATTAGTGATGTTATTTTTAGTTAAAACTAAGCTTAGTCTACCAACAAAACTTGCCCCTCAAAATGCAGAAGATAGCATTTCAAAGGGTTAAGTATTAAAAAGTTTCTCCTCCACCTTGTGCCATCCCTTGAGTGGCCATTTCCTCTTCTTCAGCATAAAGCCCTCGTACTTGGTGGGAGTGGACCTCTCCACGGTGGTGCCAGTCTTCAGTCCCTCCACAATCTCCCACTCCCCCTTCTCCAGGTCTGGGCTCAGTTCCTTCTCCTTCTTAGGAGACGGGGTTTCTTTAGAGGAGCCCGAAGTTGCTGTAGAGGGGACAGGTACAAATACTCAATTACCAATCAATTAATCAATCATTCAAGCACCCATCCAAACCTTATTGCACTACAATACAATGTATGTTGCAAGAGCTACTGAGTATACACCTATAGAATGGAGGAGACCCAGAGAGCAGCCCTGTATAAGAGGAAGAGACAACCTAGTGCAACATCTGGCCCCTTCATGGCCTACGGAAAAGGTAAGAGTTAATCAATCACTCACACTTTATCGCACAAAGATTGTAACGAGAACAGACACTAAACAATTATAAAACTAAAACCAATTCTATATAGAGATTCAACAACATTTATTAACAACAAGAACGATAGTTACGCTTACATAATGACTACATGTATATATTATATATACTATATGACTATATATTACTATATATTATGAAGCCAGTAACAGAACTTGGGGATCCCTCATTCCTTGACAAAGACTGGAGATGTACAGTCCAAAATTTGGATAAGCCTGATTTTTTGTGTTGGAAATTACAGTTTAAATTTTCATCATATTAACTTCTACCAACACAGATGAACTTTCAAGGTAATGTATATTGCTGGATTCCAAACCACGAATTCAAAAAGTGCCACCCCAACAAAGCATTGCGATGTTTATTCATCACAATATCATATACATCTATAACCAGAAAATCTGTTACTGTTAACCAGAAAATCATATCATGATGGTAGTACTTACACTTATCAGATGTGGACTTGAGACTGAGTCTGGCGGTCCCATCCTGTGCAGACGTCCCATCTGCTGAGGCAGCAGCACCAGAAGACTGAAAATAAGCAGGAGAGAATTCTCAGGTTACTACCAATGGTTAAGCTAATATAGGAATCAGAGATCACCTTTTGGTCTTTAAATATGGCAGAGGTAGTGAAGACCCAATCAGAACTAAGGGCAGGGATGGTAATGACCAATCAGAATCAAGGGTAGGGATAACGATTACCAATCAGCACCAAGGACGGGGATGGTGATCACCAATCAGCAACAATAATAACAATACATAGAGTGATTTTTCAGCATCAAGGACAGGGGTGGTGATCAACAATAAGCACAAAGAACATTCATGATGGTCAGACATGTACCTTGTAAAACTATGTACACTTTGCATTGAAAACATATGTGGAGGTTTTTGGAATGCTTATGAAGTATAAGCTGAAATAACATGACTTATAACTTCCGTTCATTGATGGTTTTCATGTAGAGCATTCTGTTTTGTTACAATTCCAACTGAAAATAATCAATGTTGGCTTTTAGTGATTGTTTTCAAGAATCTTCTACTAAGGCTATTGTCTGTCATCCTCAGTTTGCCTTGAAGCTGCACTTTGCATGAAGTTATTCTGTCCCAGAACACTCGAGACAAGAACACTTTTCCCCTCAAGACATCCTAACTCATTCATAACATCATTTATTCCCAGTCATTCCCAGCTGAACTCTCGCTCACTCACATTCTTTCAGTTCTCCTCAAGGTCACTGTCAGGACAAGGTCATGTACAGGAAACATTGACAAATAGGTGCTGTCTAGTGAGTAAAACACAGTTTTCTATCCTACCCTTTTGAGCTTGAATCAGTGTTCTAACCAGCATCAGTCTTTCCGTCATTTGACAGAATTTTGCTGCTCATATTAGACAAAAATTTTGCCATCTTTGGTGGACAAAAAAAGGCATGTAAAAATATGGAAAGCTTAGTCTACCATCAAAATTTGCCCCTAAAAATGCAGGAAATAGTGTTTCATGGGGTCAAGAGCATCAAACAAAGAAGAGATGATGGAAAAAATACAGGCTGGCTAGAACACTGGGTTTTGAACCATCATAACATCAATACAAATGACAGCAATAATATGAAGTACACACAAAAATGCACAAAGAGAGAGAAGACTACAGAAGTATTTTTTCTTTATTCTTTGCCACTTTATAATTACTGTAGAGTCACCATAGTTCACACAGATATGCCATCTTTATCAACAGTCTTAGGTATTAATACTTTAAAAGCTCTAAAATACAATTTACTTACAAAAACATAAACTTTGCTGAAATGAGGTCTTCTCTTTTTCTTTCCAAGATCGGTTTGCTAGACTACATTCCATCGCGTGTCTGTCTTTTCAAGCTGCCTGCAGCGTTATGCTAGAAAGTCCTCTTTTTTTTTGGTCCAAAAATGTACAAAACTAGAGACAACAAGGAAAACATTCTAGATGACACGATTGCATATTAATTACTGGTTCTCTCATCTAGTGGTCTAAATTTGGGACTATCACATTCACATTTATAATGATTAAAATATTAGGAGCAGGAATATTATATTTTATAATTTACCTTTTGTGTTTTACAAGCTATTTGACACATACAACATTTGACACATTGTTATTGCACATCTTACCCAATATAACGTTATACTGCATACTCCACTGTATACTTGCTACATTAGGAACTGGTTTTAACAGCTGAACTTTTACAATTATTTTCATGTGAACATGATGACAGTTTTTACATCAAAGAAAAGATAAATTCAGTGTTACATTTTTTTCACTGTCAACCTTCTCTCATGATTTGCCAGGACAATATGGCAATGATGTAAAAAGTATTATTTTTAAATTTGTATCTATTTTGTAACGGGCTACCAGAATTTCCTAGCAGAATATTGTTACGCATAGCATACAGGAAGAAAACTGTTGAAGAAACCCAGCAAAACTCTCAACTGAAGAGATCCAGGAGTAAATGTGGTGATAAATACAGGAGTAAGTTCTACTACACTCACATGTGCTCTGATAGTAATAATTTCACATTAAAGGCCTATAGATCTAGACAAGCATCACATGTATAATGGTATATATTTCATGGCACTTTTCTACTCTATACAGTTTTAATCTCTTTCAGCAACTTTTCTCCTAAATTTGAGCAGTCCTCTTCTCTATAATAGTTGTATTAATATAAGAGGAATCTCCAAGTCAGTATGACTGAATAGCAGTGAATTACACTCAGAAAAAATGAACAGTACACACATTTTCTTCTATATCATAATTCCTATGTACAAGCATTATAATATACACTGTCTGCAGAGTTATATAATGTTCTGATTTCTAAACTGAAACACGCTCAAAACACAGTCATGTACATGTATGTGTTATACTTAGATTTCATACCTTTTCATACGAGAGGTTTCAAAAGGCTTTCTGTTGAGCACTAGTCTAGACATGATGTCTATTTCTATCATGATATTTAATCAATATAGAGTCAGGTATGATTTGAGTTCTCAACAGTGGCTTTTACTCTTGATTTTAGAAAGATCATCGTGACAAGGGCATCTCTCAGAAACTAAGAATAGATCTTGAATTGGTGCCAGTCTTTGCTAGACACAAAAAGATCTGTACTACAGATGCTAATAATTGTATTACATGTATGCAGTTCCAATACCAATGCATAAAAGCTCAACAAAGTAACACAGTTCTTTGTAAACTAAAAACACACTGATGACAAGTTATACAGGTTGTATAGAATATAAGATAAGAAACACAAAATATATAATATTAGATGTTTCATACTTGGATAACCTTTTTCTCACACAAATGATAAAGTAGCTAATAGCAGATTGTGCAAATGAAGCTAGTTATCATGTGAACAGATGTACAGGAATAGATTCTACTGTAACAGTTACAACGTTAACATGAAGATATATCAAGTCAAATTACATATATCAAGATGTTAACAGCCAATGGAACAGAGCCAAGGTCTAGAAGCTTCTGCAACAGAGAGAAAAACACTGCAGAAAAAGACATCATAACAAGGCTCTGCCTCAAAGTCCTTGCTGCTACAATATATATTACAGTTGGGTTTTCCCCCTTTCTAATGTGCAAAGAAACATCTGAAAATCACAACAGAAACACTCTCCCACACATCATGGTAGAATCGATAATATCCATGTAACAGCTATGGGCAGCTGGTCTTCAGAGGACAGCTACAGCATTTTTCTTTTTACAGCTAAGGCCATGTTGATTTGATTATATGGTTGACATCCTCTGGGAACCCCCAAACTGATGCAAGCGTGCGAATTAAAAAAAAAGTTTGCCAAAAGATTTCATTCATTATGAAATCTACGTGGTCATAAAGGTTTAACAAATGACTTAACACACAAAGTATGGCATGGTGAATATTAATAGACACTTCATTTTCATTTCTTCACATTTTCTTCTTTTCCTGAATTGATTTCAGTATTCTATTACATTTGTATTGTTTTCCAATACTCTTTTTTGCAACATACGACATGTATTTGCTCATTTTACAGTATGGTCGAAATCTTTTTTATGAAACGGACGAAAATTCATGCGCACATGGATGTCATCCATATAATCAAATCAACATGGCCTGAAGTATTGGTGCCAGTGTCTGTCTGTCTGTGATATGTGGAGTAATACTGTAATGAAAACTGAAGAAAGCAAAGCTGTGGTATAGCCATGGCAATCACAGAGAGAACTGATGTTTCTTAATTAATTAGTTAATTAGCCAAAGGATGCCTTTTACATTCCACATCTAACAGCCAAGTTTTGTAGCCTGGGTGCCATCCGATTTGCAACGGCTACCCCGAAAAAATAGCCGTTACAAATCGGATGGCACCCAGGCTAGAGTTTTGTCCATGCAGCTAAAACTCCTTCATCAGGTGACCAACATTCTCCATTTGATTGCTTGTTTTCGAAAAGCATCCCAAACTGGTTACCTATGTAGCATCCCAACTGTCCATCTAACATCCAGCACCCAAAACCGTTTGCCTAGCAGCATCCAAATCTATCCAGCTGGCACCAGATGTCCAACACTAATCCATGTGAAAACTTGAGTTTCCTTTCTGCTTGGAGTATTGTAGTAGAGTTCTGTTCATGATGCATAATTTAATATCTAGTATTAGCAACTGCACTGTCTCAACAAATGGTTATAGCCACTGGACACAGTAACAGATACACTAACTGCAAGTGACACATGTCACATGGAGGAACCAAAGATCCTACACTAATACAATCATGTACTTCAACTAGTGCTGGTTGTAGAATGGTCAATGACACATACCGTTAATATAATATGCTTACAAACTCTCTTTTTTGAACCACACAATTTTCCTGTCTACTCACTACATTGTAGTCTAAACACCTTTGATGCTATATGTTTAATTTCTTTTGTTTATTACCGGTGATATGTTCACATACACAGTAGAAACATCTACTTAGAAAGTATCTAAATTAGTCTGAAGCACAATTTCTTCTGCTTCTTCTGGTTACATCTTCTTCTTCTTCTTCGAGCAGGGAAAGTCTCTCATCAGCTAAACATCTTATCACAACGTTAGTCCAAGATGGAGTATGTATAGCCCTTGAGATGTGTGCAGGGAACTTCTTCTTTCTTCTTCTTCTTCTTCAAATAATGGCGGCAGGACTGGTTGAATCTTTTACATGATTTGTGCTGGTTGGGGAACTCACATGTTAAACCTAGAAATATTCACAGAAAACTAACTTGAGGGTACTGTAAGTGTAACAGCTTAACACATAGAACAAATATAGTATCAGACATTCAAACATAGTAATTTTGATATTATTTCTAGTCTATAAACATGTACTAAGTGATCTTCTTCAGAGTAGATTCAGCAGTAGTTCCAGTAACTGCGGTGTGTTGACTGTTCTGTGTTGACCCCATTATGAGGTTTTTCTAAGTTTTTGATGCTCCATTTGCAGTTCCGTTGGACTGTGTGGGCCCGTTGGCTTGAGGGGAAGATTTGCCGGCTCCTGACGCATCCAGGTCT